CGGCGAGAACGTGACTACATGTCGTCAGTTCCCACCTTTGTGCGCAATGTGATGGGCAGCAGCGCTGGCGCCGGTTCTGGTGAATTCCACGTCTATCGTCATCTGCGACGCAAAGAATATGCCCGTCAGAAGAACATACAGAACCAAAGTCTGAGAGAGGCTGCCGACATGGCCTATCAACAAAAATTAGATAGTAACAGGCAAGCAGCTGAAGAGCGTACTGCAAAAAAGCGTGCCAAACGGCTTAAGAAGAAGCAACGTGCAAAACGACCCCGCGAACAAAAACCAAACGAAGAGAAGAAATTGGATGCTGAGTCGAGTGGAAGTGCATCTGAAGACGACGCGGAGGTAAAAACTGAAGCGGATACAGAGAGCAAAGTCAAGGAGGAAGCAAACACAGCAACAGCGTCAGCGGAAGCTACAAACTCTAATGAAGAAAGGGAAATAGTTGTTGATGCACATGCTGATGCTGGCAACCAAGGAAAAGATAACACATCTGATGCGGATGCTGAGTCTTCCAAGGCAGACATTTGACGTATTTTAAAACATTCTATTTTATTAACTTTCTGTACCCATATTAAAGAATATAGCTAATGGTTATTAAGTGAAACAAATTTATGGATTTATTTGTTATGTATATTTATATATATATATATTTATATATATTAACCAGTTTGTGCAGCGATATAATTGCCATTATAATTATAATTGGCTGTATCGATTGCATCTTGTGTGGCTTATCAATATAACAGGCCGTCGTTTAAAGCAGCTTTGGTGATGAGAGAAGCGTTTTTTGCATATAATTTTTTGTTTAAATTGTGATTCCCATAGCTTATGCTAGAAAAGATAGGTGCGAGAGTGCTCTGTATATTTATATATCGATTATAAGTTGTAATCGAATGTGCTCGACTAAATTATACCCCGTACCCAGTGTATCCGAACATTTGGGCGCTGTATTAAGTAGAAATTATATGACATTGGGTACTGGGCATTAAAAATGTCTTTAATTATTGATTTTTGTCGTTTGTGTTTCTCTGAAGAAGCAAATTTATTGTTTACAATTTGTATTTTTTTTTCCTTCTATTTTCTTTTCCATAATCCTGTTGTTGCTCACTTCTTCGTCTTCATTTCTGAGTGTGTATTTACGAAATTTTCAAATGTTCCACAAATAGTTAATAATGTATACATATATACTATATTTCTTCTGCACTTATGAACAATTATATTAAAAATAAATTTGCAGCATTTTACTAAAGTAAATCATATTTTTTTGAACTTAAATCAAACTTAAACTTGTACACATTAAATTTTTCATTATAAGTTTATTTGTATTGTGTTTTTGTTTAAATCCTTTTTGCAAAAAAAGAACACAAAACTTGAGAGCTGTATTCGTAAATAATTGTAAAAGCGTTGCTTATCATTATATTGTGTTGTGTTCTTTTCTATTAAAATTACCTCAATTTCATTTGCATAAAATGCGAAGTAATTCACAATAAAAACATTTTTTTTTTGTTGAAATCGTTCGCTCTACAAATAGAAAGTGTAAGAAGAATACATTCCTTGCTGCTTATTTTCTTGTTGATTGAACTTGAATTTTCTTAAATATTGCGCGAGGGCGTGGCATATATATTATAATAATCTATTAATATGCGCTTATATGCAACAAAAATTCAGAAATGACAACATCATTAAGTTTCGTGTCTACACAGACTGCGTGTTTGTTGTTTTTTTTTTTAGCATTTTGGATTTTGACATAAACATTTTAAGTCGTACAATTGCATGTGTATTTAATTTTTCTTTTTTAATTTTTAAGTGCTTTTCAAATTGTATTTCACACTCACAAGAAAACTATTGGAAAATTCAACTACAGATCTTAAGTTTTTGTCGGCTAGCGAGCGTGCTTTTGTTATGTTATTAATTTGTTTTGTTTTTCTTTTATATTTGTTGAGGCGCGTGAGTCTACACAGCATTTAAATTAATAGTAATCGTATGTATATTTAAAGGTATATATATATATATATAGATATATGTATATAAATATGCATGTACTTTGTATAGTTGGTAGGTAGGAAAGTTAGTTGGTTAGGAGGCCATACATTTAATAAATATTTCGTTTCTTTCGCTGTTTTTGCGTTTGCTGCTTGCTCGGATTAAACTTTAGACATACATAATACATATTCATATATATATATATATATATATATATATATATATATATATATATATATATATATATATATATATATATATATATATATATATATATATATATATATATGTATATATAAATATATAGATAGATATATTTTGAAATATACATATATAATTCGCATTGATGCATCTGGTAAAGGTGGCTGAGACTGTGTATACTCAAACATATATATCTATATATATATATATATAAATATTGTAGATATATTAATTATGTTTAAATTGAGAAATAAGCAAATCATTTTCTGCTGAATTCTTAACGACATTCCCAAACTTTAACTGATTGATCTACGCTACCAGAGATGACATACGGATGCGCTTTGTGAAAATCTGTAATAAAATATTGTGAATTACAAAATTGAGTTTCTGCCAATGCAGTGTGTGTCAGTCACTTACCAATGGATGTGCAGAAATGCTGATGCGCATAGAGCGTCTTCATGCATCGCTTGTTGCGCAAATCCCAGACCCGAATGGTCTTGTCATCACTGGCTGATACCAAATATTTGCCTCCGGGATGGAATGCCAAGCCCCTCACCCAATTGTCATGCCCGTTCAATGTGAGCAGGCACAGTCCAACGCTGACATCCCAAATGCGTATGGTTTTATCGCGTGAACCAGATGCCAGGAATGGTCCCTGATGGTGACCCTTCTTGTTGTCAGCGCCGGCTGCCTCATTTATCGCTGATGCGGCAGCCTCTGGCGCCCATGCAATGCATTCCACCGTATGCTCATGATCGCGTAATTCAACCTAACGAATATATTTAAATTAGTTAGTCGTACAAAATTTTTTATTGCCTTGGAAGCCATATGAAGTTGTATTGGATCAACCACCCCAAAACCAATTGATTAGCTTCATTTCCGTTCTCCTTTGTAAGGATTCAATTTGGTTGCGTGCTCACCTTACAGTCTTTTGAATTTGTCAACCAAACGCGTATTGTGTGATCATTTGAGCATGTGGCAAAGATGCTGCCTTCAATGTGCACGCGCACCATTCGCACCCACTCCCGATGCCCGGTGTAAGTTTTTACACAGTATCTGGTAAATTAGATAAAAAAAATTAATATATGTATTACAAATATATATGCATATATGTATATAAATACTGACCCTGTGGCCACCTCCCACATTTTGATGGTACGGTCACGCGATGCGGATAGCACGTAATCACCGGCGGGTACAAAGGCCACCGAGGATACATTGTGATCGTGACCGTGCATGGTTTTCACACACTCGTAGCTTTGTTGAAAGTCCCACAGTTTAATGGACAAATCAGCGCTGCAGGAGGCTGTAGGGATAAGAAAGTGAATTGAAGATAAGGATAATATAGTTAAGTGCTTAAATTACCTAAAAGCTTGCCCTGCGCATCAAATGCCACATCTTGCACAGAGTCTGTGTGTCCTTTAAGACTACGCTCATATTCGCCAGTTTCGAAATCCCAAATTTTAATGGTGGCATCTTCTGAGGCCGAGACCATGAGTCCAAATATTGGATGAAATATAACCTGTACAAAATGTAATTATTGAACAAGCTCTGCTTTGTTAATTCAAATGCTTTACTTACCCTCGTTATGCTGGCTCGATGTCCTGTTAGTGAGTATTTCTCTGGCGGCCTGGGTATCCATTCGCCGGGCGTACGTTTGTTCTTTGTGGGCGCACCCTCGATAACCTCCTTTTCAGCTTCGGTTAGCTTAGCCTCTAGGTCCATGACCTTCTTTTGCAGTCGTATGACCGATGTCCATTTCTTTTCTAATAGCCCGCCATACTTCTTTTCAGATTCTGTACTGAGATCTGCCTCCTTACGAAAGGTCTCCAATGAATCAGCATAGCCATTTGAGCCCAAATAGTCGGCAATCGCTTGGTTACTAAAAATTTATATTTAGACAGTGTTATTGAGGCTGTTCCTGACTGCCTTCTGGTGGATTACTTACAGCTCCTCGCGCTGCCGCTGCGACAACACCATTTTCATGCTGTTCTTCAGTTTAGGCGAGCTTCAATTCTGTTGCTTTATGCCTCGATTTGTTGCTGCCGTCTTCTAGTGCACTGCTATTGAGAGAGGAAACAAAGAGAAACAATATAGACAAATGCTTCAAGCATTATACATGAATGACTGAACAGGAAATTGGTTCCACAAAAATATGAAAAGGCAAGTTTCGCAAAGAGGCAAGTCACCCGCATAGTTATACCCTATACATACAAAAATTCGTAAACAAAGAGTATTTATACTAATCGAGGAGGTATGTAATAGGTAGATTTGACTGAATATATGTGGTCTACACTCGAGAGAGCCTAGATTTAATATTTAAAGATATAGTATTATAAATTTCTCTCGCTTAATTTTAATTAATTAAACAAGTGATTATATAATATATCGGCCACTACAACCATATTTATCGGTCTCCACAGGGTATTTTAGAGTCAGGCACTTCAAGCAAAGTATTAAAAATTTAGCTTTTTGTTTTTGGCAATGTTGCCCCATAGCGCCGCAACTTCGGCATGCATACTTAATCTGCTCTTACTTCAATTCGACCTCCCTTCTTCATCTTCCTCTTCTTCATTGTTTCACAGCGTGCTGTATGATGATAAACATAATTATCAACAGAGAGCCTCAGAAATTGTTTCGTTTGTGTGTTTCTGGCACACAAAAATATTTTCGGTTCATGTGGTCGCAATTACAGTGCACATTGTCTGCAAATCTGTAAAGACCCAGCCAATCAGATTGCAGCAAATATGCAACCCTGTGCTTACTATTGACACATCGATAACTGCATTAACTCTATTCGAATAGAATAATCAAACAGCTTCCAAAATAGACAAAGCAACATTGAAGATGATTCGATGTTGCTGTAGTAGTTGCCATAAGTCGTAAGCCATGTTTATAGTGTTGTAGTTGGCTATGGCAAGAGCAATTCAATTAACTCAAGGTGGCCAACAATAGGCAACAGGCAATGACAAAACGCAGGTAGCACGCAATAAACCGACCAATCAAACTAAACGAATCTAAGCGAAAAAAAAATCAACGAAAGCATAGCCCGATTTGTTTCTCTTCATTTTTTCTAGATAAGCATTTAACGACACATTTGTGTATGTTTTCCACGTTGCCAAAGTCGCATAGCAGAGTTACAAGCGCTGACAAAGCCAATTAGCAACATCTAACGGTAGTTCAAGCAACTTCTTATAAATAAATAACGCAAAACGAAAGAGAAAGACAGACACACGAAAAAGTCAAAGCTTAGACTATACATACATACACATACACGCAGTTATAAATATATAAATATATATAAACAACAAGGAAATGACGTTTTCAGATTATTTTTGGACGCTTAACCATCGCGAATAATATTTTACCGATTTTTGAACTAGCTGCTATAGCGGAGGGCAGCATATCTGTGTATATACTATTTACTGTAAAAAAAACTAACCAAACGAGTTCAAGCGATGAAATCTGCTTTTTTTTGCAACGACGACGGCATTGAAACTAGGCATGAGTCACGCGCGTTTTGAACACATTGCGAGAGCAAAGTCAGCCTTTATCAGCTGTTGGGACCTGCTCAAACTAAAAGACACGCAGCGACCATTAACTGCGCATCTAAATATAAAATAAAATCAATAAACTAAATAAGAAATAGACAACGCTAACGTCACGAGTATTAACGGAACGCGAGTGGGTTGGATGGATGTAAGTAGGTGGATAATGCCGGACAGCGACAACAACCGTTGTGTTGTGGCAACCGGGCGTGCGTTTTGTTCTTATTGGGGCCAGCATTCCAATACACAGACATGCGCCTTGTAACTTCCAGCCATGTAACTGTGTGGGTAGAGCTAGTAACGGTGTTCCACAACAGCAACAAAAACAACAGCAGCAGCAATGAAATAGCTAGACGGGGGCGTTTGGGTCACACGCTGCACAAGATTTGAAAGGCGTTCACTGACGCTGCGAAAAAAGGGTTACCAGCCATATAAAATAATATATGTACTAACTAACACAAATATACTCTCACACAAAGGGGTATTTAATATTCCAATTTGAATTGTAAATTGCTAAGGCATTTGTAGTTGCTAGTTTATGCGGAATGGGAATCTGATGTCAGCATTACATATGTGCATGCACATGCACACATGCATATATATATAAGGATACGGGCAATCGCGCAGTTCTTCTCTCCAGGGAGCGAGCTGCATGCACAGAGCGCCTGAGAGAGACCTTGCACTTGCTTATATGTGCACTTGGCTGCCATTTGCGTGCTTTTCTCACGCTTTGCCAGTGTTGGTAATGTTGAGAATTTGGCAATGCAGCGAATAAGTAAAAGTTTTCGAGTATCGATTAGCAACTACAACACTAGCCAACAAAGTGTCTAGACACAGGTCTAAATTGATTCGCATTTACAAAAACCTTTAGCTGGGAAAGTCGGACAAAACACAACACAGCAACATATTTAGATTGTAAATTGTAAAACACTGTAAAAGCTCATGAACAGGCATTCGAGCAAGATAAGACAAGTGTGGATGGAAAGAGAAATAGAGAGAGAAAGAAAGAGAGAGCGAGAGTCGACAGACAAGAAAGACAGGGCTAAAAGTGTCAGAAAACAGACTTCATAGATAATGGCAACGGCAGCAATTTGCGGCCAATTTGCACAGTCAGTCTCAGACTTTGCGACTCCATCCACTCCGAACGAAGAACCAGCTTAGCTCAGCGAATTGCACACGTTCTGGGAATTGCAGCGGGCGCTGTTAACAATTTTACTACTATATATGGGATCCAAATACCACATGTGTTTTGTTTTTTAGTGTATATGCGGCGATGGCCAATGCCAAAGCGGCCCAAAACGGAAAACTGTAAAAAAAAAAATAATAATAACAAGATTTCTACCGAGACACGACCAAGCTGCATTTGCAGAACTGGTTTGCTTTTAACTTTAGCCCAATTGAAAAAGCTGTTGGAGGCAGGCGAAGGAATCGGATTTTACTGCAGCCATTTGTTCTGGATACAAAATCGATCAATTTTCCATATCCCAGAGCAGGGGTAACAGGAGGCGTAGGAGGATACATGCGCAAAAACACACACATACACATACGCGCATATATACACTCACACATACACTGACACGAAAACTGACGCAGGGAGCGATGTGTCATCGCTCTTTGGTGGTTGTTGTAGAAGAAAAGCAAAGCATACTGAGGAAGAACTTCAAATTGTTTTTGTTTTTGCACTTGCATGCTTTGTAGTAGTTTAGTTCAGTTTATGCAGCATTATTTGCATAACTTTTGCTTGTTCGCTTTGCTTTTCAATAACAAAACATATATACACATTCACATACAAGCGTACACTCAAACACAATAACAACAACACCACTGACACTGACGAAAAATAAAAACTGTTACGACGGCCATCTTGAAAGAGCAGCGCAGTCAGCGTCGCTGCGGCAGCGTTTTAGAAAAGTGGCAATATGCAAAATTGAAAAAGTCCAAATAGATTTGTCAATCACACGCACATTTGTCACAAAACTATTGCGTTTTAAACGGGGTTTTATTTTCTTTCTCTCGTATAAGCGCGCACCAATACACTGCCAGTCTGTTCATACATATGACAAATTTTTTCTTTTTTCCCTATTTGCCCATTACATACACTTCGCTGCTGGTGCGTCGCTGTCGCATTAACGACACTTGGATTATGCGTTACAGACCGTGCAGTGACGTTGATTTCATGTTTTTCATTGCACATTACGCATACTTACAGAGTGTGCTACTTGTATATATTTTTAAAGTAAATTAATTTAAATTAATTGGGAAATAATTACGCAGAAATGAAGCGCGGCGAGAAATGCTTCCAATATCTTTCGATGCTTTCGACGTATCGATGCTAAAGCTATTGTTTACCAGCACTAGTTCCAGGGCTTCTGCATATTTTAGCTATCGATACTTGGCCGATGACGGTGCTTATCGATGGCTGTGCCAAATTAATTGAACAGCTGTTTCAACTATTTTGGCGCTATTAAATGAAATTTAAAATATAATAAAAATAGTCATTCTTTAAAAGAAGGCGTAGTTGACCTTTTACATCACTACAACGCACATAACTTTTTCACAGAATGGAATGCATTGTTTTTATCTTGCAGCACATACATGCTCTCACAAACTCATACATATGTACATTCATACCCTGTCGGAGAAAATTTGCCTTATCAGTAACGCGCACAGTGATACAGCCATGTGTTATTTATTTTTACGCTCAGTTCTCGTCTAACGCTCAACGGAAACGGTTATTTGTTACACAAAGTAAACGATATCGTTGCGCATATTAAAGTGCAATTTAACAAACAATTCGGTAAAGCACGCGCGTATTTTATGCACTAATACGAACAAAATATTTTATAAAATTTATAAACGTATTGTGAGTGCTAAGAAATTGGTTAAGTTAATTGATTGGCTATCAAGCTGCCAATAGCTGATGAATCAATTTAATGAGCAAATTGCCAAAATATGTAAATGATTCGCCAATTATGACAGGCGGCCGTTATCAAGCCATCGCGATTCTAATCAGGCAGCCTGTTTTTTCGTTCATACTCGTTACACAGGCCAATCGTGATAAAGGTTCATACAAAAAAAATAGAAATCAAAAGTGCTGCCAATTGGAATATATGTTCTGCTTATCGATAATTTGATTTGTAACGGAAGCACATCCTTAATACAAGCCATAAATTGTGCTTACATCTCTTGTCGAAATCGAAAGTGCCGTCAAATTGCATTTTGTTTGTGCTTTGCATATGAATAATACCATTTGCTGATTTTTAAAGGAAAAGCGCCCTTAATGGATTACTCACATCTCTAATTGGCATAAAAGTGCGGCCAAATTACAATTTTTCACGGTAGTTCATCCTTAATACAAGCCATAAATTCAAAACACAATGATATGTGCGCGTGTATTGGCGTGAATTATTATTGGAAAACGATTTGTGGCGAACGTTTCGACGGCCTCATATGCACATTGTTATCAGGGAGCTGCTCTGATTACATATATTGTTGATATGATAAAAAATACCCCAGAACCGACAGCGTTTACTTTCTACGACCGTTAAATTGTTATTATTGGCTTATTTGTTATTTCGTATTTGATTTGTGGTCATGCCAAGCAAAGCAAAGCGAAGCGAAACAAAAAGAAAACCTTTTTCATTTCGCGATTTGTTTAAACAAGCCAAAGCATAGGAAATTGACTTTTTGCCTGCTGCCAGTCATACAGCACAATAACTTGTCAAGTAGATAACAAAATATGTCGCCCCTTGCAAGCTATTAATAATTATCGAAACAAAAAATGTAATTTTATTTGCTTTAAAATGTCTTTCTCAATGGCAGCCGTTGAGATTCGAGCTACTGAGGTCTATAATTACCACTGTATGTTCTTTGATTACAAATACACACGCACAGTAGATACATTCCTAATGAAATATCTCAGTGCTTCATGTGCTCAGCAATGACAATATAATTCTTCAGCAGCTGCGTCATGATCCAACACTTTTGATCTCTTTACAAGTTTTTCAGAGTAGTTCTTAAAAAGACAGTTATATTTGATAAAGCTAAAATTTAAATAATTTAAAATGTTAGTTTGTTCTCAATGCAGTTATAAAATATATTTATATTTTTCATATTTTACTATTCATTTTTGCCATACATATCTTTGTCGTCATATTGATAATACTCAATAAATTTGATTGTTTTTAATACTTCCATATTCATACTTAATAATTATCAGGTTGTTCAGATTGTTATCTTTATCAATAATCGTATATTGCGCCTTTCTAGAGGCCTTTTTGGGTTTATTTCTTACTCCTCGGTTAAGTAGTCGCAGTGTCCATTGAGTGCCTGATAAGCCCTTGCCCAATCCCGGCAAGTGACCAATATATTTATGAATTTATATATGTATGTATATATAGCACTTTTGTTGTATTTGTTCTTTATCACAAATTCGCCTCTTGCTCATCGCCAATCCCTTCGCTCTCAATTACAAAATGAAACTTCACTTGCAAGGCTTTTGCCAAGAACTTGAGTCATATTGTGTATATTAAAGCATAATATTAATATATATCTATCTATATATTATGCATATATTTAGTTTTAAGATAATAAGAAAATAATAAACTTGATTAATTACTGCATAAACATTTAGCTAAGTGAGTAGAAAACATTTTGAGTCTTCACTTATTTATTATATTCGCGGAAATAAACAAACTCGGTATCTTTCGGGAAATTATAACAAATTATTACTTACAATGTAGAGCTCAGAGAAGATATATATATATATAGATTTTATATAGAAGAAAATTGTAACTGCGTGCATGATTACTACATGGACCATAAAATATAGAACATGATTTGTGGTTATTCACATTATGCAAGGCATGCAAGCTGTGCCTCGATATTTATAAATTTTGTTGTAATATCTCATATGGACATGGGTTAACTTGTTGTATTTTGGGAAAAATATCAATTTGACTTAATAAACATTTTATGGGGAACTTTAATCAGCTTTACTAATTTGAACATGTTGTGTTAGGATAACCGGCTATGACATACCTCCAGCACTTTAATATGCCAGCTCATATAGATATTCCAGTCTACTTCTAAATGGATGGTAAACTATTTGGGAAATTACGTCTCTGTTATCTTTACAACAGTCAATTGCTCTGAAGATTCCTAAACAAAACTTTCTATGTATTGGTAGAATTTGGTAGGATGTTTCACTTATTTACCGATTACGGAATAATACGGATTCGAAAAGCAAATTGATTCCAGAAACATATAGTGAGAGAATAAGATGAGTCAGGAATTATTTAATTATAAATGCATTTGAATTATGTTGTTCTCTCTCTCTCTCTCTCTCTCTCTCTCTCTTCTCTCTCTCTCTCTCTCTCTCCTTCTTCGGGTCAAATTGTATGAATTTTACCTTTGTTATAATTTAATGCATTTTTAAAATTGACACCTGTACTCAATGTGACAAGTTCAACTGTCGATTACACTCATGGCTCGAACACATACATACATACAAAAAGTTGTTATTGTTTTTTTTTTTTTTTTTTTGCAAATTTTTATTGATTCACGCCTAAAGTTTATTAATGTGCGCATTGCACTTAAACGAGCTGCTTCCTTATATAAGGGGTTAATACTGTTCGATACGTTGAATTAATTTGGAGAAGTTATTGCGAAACCGGTTGCATTTTGGTCAGCTGACATTGAACTTGAATTTAACTTCCGAATTGAACAGCAACTGGTGGCAATGTTGTCGTAAGATGAGGCCCAAGAAACACGGCAAGCCAAGGACTCGGCTCTATGGACTACTCTGTGTACCGTTAATTCTTTATGCATGGACAGCAGCACAGGCGCAGGCGCAGGCGCAGACAGCCTCGGCACTAGCGGATCAAGATCCAAATGATGGTGTGTAAACTCTGCACAGCAGACTCAAGTACTCATTGATCCTCTCATTGTAAACATATTTTTATTATCCTATTGATCAAATCGATATAGTTATCGCTTGGTGTTTAATTTATTGGTCGATCGGTCATCTATATACTGAAAAATATTTCATCGATATTAATTTATTCATACACCCATTGATATTTGCCGATTTACATTAGCAATAGATAGAGAACTTCTATGTCATCGTATATAGCAAGTCACTAAGCCAAATACTTTTTATTACCTCTATATATTTCGATTAGTGGCTAAAATAACTGTGATTAGTACGCCCTATACGCTAAGCTTTAGTGTCAGCGCTGAAGATAAGGAGAAATATATTATCGAGAATATAACATGTCCTGCAGGTAGCGCAGCGAGTGTAGCTGGAGGACAATTCGTCTGGTGAATATTTCAGATATTTATATTTGAAAATTTTAAATAATTTATTACGTGCCATTTTAGTGAGAATCTAGAGCCATGCACGAGCTATACGACTGTAGTAAGTTTGAAAGGCACGACGGAGGGTGCTACGGTAGTTCAACAAAACGTTATTGCCTATACGGAATATAAAGGTGAGTGCCAGAAGAAATACATTTTCAATTACATAATTTATTTCTATTCTTATATGTCTCTCCTATTTAGAGCCGAAGACGACTTTGACATCCATTGAAGCTACAGAAACGACGATACAACTGACCTGGGAGACCACCGATCGGGCCTGTGTGAAACATTTTGAGATCCAAGCAAATGCTCCAGACAGCACAAATAGCCACCAACAGTTTAAGGATGAGAGCAGCGATACATTCGTCGTCCTGCCATGTCGGACGTACAATGTGACACTTGAGACGAAGAATAATGCGAGCGTGACCGTTGGCAGCGATATGAGATTCGTGGACACCGGCTATCTGGAGCCAGGCGAACTGCAGCTGATTATCGTCAATGGCTCCAATGCGGATACGGTAGTGGCTTGGTCAGATCCAATTAATAAGAGTTGTATAGGCAGCTATACTATTGTTTGGCGACGCGATGGTTGCGTCTCGGAAGAGGATCAGGAGACAACAACAGCGACAACAGAGCAGGAGGATGACACGACGACAGCAATCACAGATGATTGGACGGGCCTAACGACTGTGTTCCCCGATTCGGTGACACAAAGCGGGACTAGAGGTGAGTGCTTCAATTGAAAGAATGTCTTTTGCCGCTTTTTGCAATTACCATTTCTTTTCCCTCTTCATTTATATATATTTTCCATTAGCTTGTTCCTTTTCGATTTAATTTTCACTTATTCGTTTATCCTACTCTCTTTTCCCTTCTGCAAATTTAATTTCGTTCATTCTCTCTCATTTCGGAATTGGTTTCGACTGCTCCATTTCTCCTCCACCTTTGGCTTCGCTCTCTTCCAACTGCTGCTCCTTTGACTACAGTAGAGTCCACCTAATCTTATCTAATTTCAGCAATTGAGTGCGAGTGGAGCTATTACTCGAACGACTCCACAATGAAGCAGTATACCATATCAGACCTGCAGGGCTGTGCACTGCACACCATCGAGGTATACATAAATGCAGAGCGCAATACAACGGCCAAGGCCACGAAGACCTTTGTATCTGGCGAGAAGTGTAAGTAGTCCATAATACTTCTCAATGCTTTCTAAGCCTTTGCTCATTTAGTGCCGGGTGCTATATCGGAACCTCTAGAAATCATCAATTCCACCGAGCTGCATTGGTCATGGTCACCGCCCACAGATAACGCCCAGTGCGTTGCCAATTATCATGTGAATCTAACTGGACCCACCCAGCGTTCGGAATATGCCAGCGACGAGCAGTTGACTAGTGAAACTTTTGTTACTTTCCAGAATCTGGAACCCTGTGGCATCTACAATGTGGAAATTGTACCAATATCAGCGAATGGATCCAGAGGCACCGGGTTTCAGAGTCAAAGCACGCTGAGCGAGGATCGTAAGTAGAGAAGATCTTCCCCTAAAGCCTTCAGTAATAATCTCGCAATAGAGCCCACACAGATTCTAGAGCCATCGAAGAACACAGGCCCCTATTTTATCGAGCTAGAGTGGCTAACGCCGAGTTACGCCGATCTGTGCATCGATGGCTATCGTATCTCGGGTTGGATGGACGATGACATAGAGGTTGTAGCACTGAGTCTTAGCACACAAAATAATTCTGTCAGATTTGATAAGGGTCTGGGCGCCTGCCAGGGCTATACCATACAAATAATACCCTATACAAAGGAGAAACTGGATGGAGAGCTGCGACGAATCGAAGCCGAAACTAAAGCAGCAATTGTTAACTACGAGAAGGTTTCTAAAAATATCTATGTATATATATGGATCTATCTGAATAACGCTTCGTTTTATAGATCAAATTCGAGCTGGTGGGCAATGGCGCCACGCCTCACAGTCTGGAGCTGAATGCTAACAATCAGGACTACAACAATCATTGCCAGACGATCTTCGCGCATTTCAGCTGCCAGACCAGCGCCGACGTGCCCAACACCTATGCGGAGAAGTATGTGGAAAGCTATCGTGATCGCGGGTTTCAGGCGGTAGTCGAACCACTCTCGCCCTACACCAAGTACACCTGCAGCGTAGTGCTCTACAATGTGGCTGGGCCATCGGGGAAAAAGATCGTAACGGGTCAACAGCTGGAAACTCTAACGTTCTGTATGTGTCGATCTAGTAACTTTTAATATTATTGCCATACTAAGCGCATTTAGTCGTTTGCAGTTCCAGAACAGCCCCAAAATGTTCGGTATCATGATAGCACCAAGACGAGTTTGACTTTTGTCTGGGAGCAACCGAAACATCCAAATGGACCAATCAAATACTATCATGCATTTCTAATGCGCTACGAGCCGGATTACTTTGTGCCCAGCACATGTAATGCAGTGAACGAGGTGATCAAACCCGAAACCAAAGGTGAGCACGCTAAGTAATCTGCTGCAACGAACCCCGTCTCCAATTCCATATATCTCCGTAGGTGACATGATGAGCACCTTCAACGATCTATCACCCGCTGTCAAGTACATTATGCAGGTGGCTGCTTTGAATGATTTCGGCTTGAGTCAATACACGGCTCCTGTGATCGGCATTACGCAACCAGATGGTAAGCTACGGAGCCGAAATGCAATATCCTAATATATAACCTTAACAAAATGATTATTATGTAGTATCGGATCCAGTCACCGATTTAAATGTGACCTCAGACGGTCCCGCTCTAGATCCTAATAGCTACAGCGCCAATGTCACAATATCCTGGACTATACCCTGCAAATCGAATGGCCAAATCCAGGAGTTTGTCTTGCACATTACGGGCGTACGAGCGGAACGGCGGATCAGTTATCAGGAGGGTGTCCCACCCGATAATCACGACAGGGAGGGACGCATGACACACAGCATAACCAATCTACTGCCGGAAGTTGAATATACAGTCAGGGTAGCCGTCAAGACGAAGAATGTGGACACATTGAGCGCAAGTGAATCAAAGGTTTGGGAGTCACCAGCGGGCTGTGAGTATATAATTTTACACTTACCACGAGAAAGCCATCAGAAATAGTGTTTTAGCAGCAACATTTTCTATATAATTTTAGTTAAATGGTTTACATTGTGCTGATATCGTATTTGAATACAGACAGTGCTCCATTTCAGACGTTGCTCCATTTTCTCCAATTAGCATAAAGTGCTAAAAATACATGTTAAATTTGCCAATTTGCCAATTTGCTTCCGCAACGAAGCATAAAGTACTAAAAAATGGCATATTTGGTTTATCCTTTATGAGCCTAGCTTAAATCTGTATTCAGAATAAAGTACTAATAAATCCTTCATTCAGTGTTGCCAGCTGTTGAGTTTTAAAATACGTTATAAAATACGTTATTTCCTCTAAGTATTTCCCTTAAATATTTCCTCTAAGTGTTTCTATTAATGATTTCCTCCAAATATTTCTCCTAAGTATTTATGCTTAGTTGAACGATCACACACTTCACTTCACTGCACGACTGACCCCCACCTGGACGACTGACGAATTGTTGCAGCTGATGCCCTTTATATAAGGCGACTTTCACTCAGAAACAAATGCGCTCAAATGTTGAGCCCGACGCCAGGTAGTGATCATAGTACTCGAGCTTTAATTGACCAGTGGGAGCACTCTCTGCTGCAGCATGCATTCTAGCTTAATTTTACTTAAATATAAATACCAAATGAATACTGCTGCATACATATAGACTATATAAGTGATCTGTAGTTCTTATTCGTCCCTTGCTTTTCTCAGACAGACAAACAGAGTGATAGACAGGGAGACAGACAGATCAGATATACAAACAGACATACATTACATTAATATCTAGTAGTTGTTATAGCATACACCTATATAAAGTGAGTCTTAATAATCTGCTATTAACTATGTTTTCCTGTAGTACCTTCTGGCCTGGACGACGATATAGTGGGTAAAATGCGTGTCAGCGCCTATGATACTAATCATCCAACCAGCTCGGCGATTGTAAATTTGCCCCGCGACATTTTAAACTCTGAGTCAGGAAAAATAAAATATGTGGCATTGTTGCTATCCCAAAAGCATTGTACCGACAAGCCGAAATTGACCTATAATGTTTCCAAATCCTGGCCACCCGTGGCATCCTGGGATGAGGTGGGCGGCGATTGCATTCAGCAGTACCAAACAACGCCCGAGCGCTGGAATCCTAATGATGACATTCAAAATATGCGCGCCGACAAAAGTGAGGACATTACGTTTATCATAGGCACCGACAAATGTCCGGATCAGACTAAACGCTACTGCAATGGTCCACTAAAGCCGAATACGGAATACCATATGGTAGTGCGACTTTTTACCAGCTCCGGCTATAATGATGCGGCGCTACTGGAGTTCAAGACGGAGGCGGCGATTAAGGTGACGCTCATCCTGGTCAGCGTTTGCAGCTGTCTGCTGCTGGCCTTCATACTGGGCCTGCTCGTGCTCTATGTGCGCAAGCGTATAGCTTGGTAGGTGTCTAGAAATGATGGAGATTAGACTCTCTTTCAATTTACCTATACATATTTCAGGCATCGCGACTCTGGCCAGGGCATCGAGGATCCATTTGGCAATGTAATAGCCAAGAACTTTGCGCTCTTCTATGCAGAAGTGGCCAAGCCGGAAAAGCTGGCGCGTGAATTTAAGGAAATCACGGTTGTGGCCTTGGAGCTGAGCTACTCAGCCTCAGAGTTGGGCAGCAATAAGAATCGCTATGCAGATATCTATCCCTGTAGGTGTATTGAGTGAACTTGACTAGATCTTAGAGAACTAATTCTATTATATTGCAGACGATAAGAATCGCGTTATACTGGACATAGATACTGAAGGATCGGACTACATTAATGCTTCCTTTATTGATGTATGGCTTGCACTATATAGATATATGAATTAAATCATTAATAAAACCTCCTTCCAGGGTCACACACGAAAGAAGGAGTATATAGCTACGCAGGGACCAAAGCCAGAGAGCGTCATGGACTTCTGGCGCATGATCCTGCAGCACAATGTGCGCGTCATTGTGCAGGTGACACAATTCCGCGAAGGCAACACAGTGAGCACGCGCTTAATATAACCAATGCTATATATCATACATATATACTTTACCCCATATAGATCAAATGCCATGAGTATTTTCCCTATAATATGCGCGGTGTTAGTGTCACAATCAAGGCTAAGGAATGCTTTGATATTTACGATCGCACAGAGCTCACGGTGGTACACGAGAAATACGGCCTCAAGGAGAAGGTGGTACACTTCTTTTTCAAAAAGTGGCCCGATCATGGCTGCCCCGACGATCCCAATCACTTGATCACCTTTGTCAAGAAGGTCAAGGCAGAAAAGCGTCCGAGCTACTCGCCCATTGTGGTGCACTGCAGCGCAGGCGTTGGACGAACGGGCACCTTTATAGGCCTCGACTTGATAATGCAGCGCCTGAAGAGCGAATCGAAAATTAATATTTTCGAAACAGTCAAAAAGTTGCGATTTCAGGTATTTCGTAATCTTATCTGTCTATATTCTGTCTATGATGTCTAATTTATGATCCCGTTGCAGCGCATGAAAATGGTGCAAACCTTGCAGCAGTATACGTTCCTCTACAGCTGCACCTATGAGCTCGTGAAGCACAAGATTCCACGTGCAGCACTCAAGCTCGAGGTGCGGAACAAAACGGATGGCGGTGTGCCACCGTTAGCTACACCCAAGAAGGTCAGTTTTCCCGACACGGATCTGAGTCGTGTCGAGTCAGCCGTACTGGATTCACCCGATCCGGATTCCGGATCGACAGCTGTGCAATTGCCGTCTCGTTTTAGCGGGCTGCGTCGAGCGAACGATTTGGATTCGTTGAATGAGCAGCCAGAGCGAAACGGTCTTCAACGGGCCAACGGCAAGAGCAGCGAGTGCACTATATAATTTTGTGAGCATTTTGTGACATCATGCATGATACCATGCGTGTGTATTTATTGTATTATACAAATATAATTTAGCAGCAATAACAGCCAAAGAGAATTGTCTAACGCTAAAGCATTGTACTGTGAAGTTTAATAAATATATATGTAAAGAAATATAATGGTGCTGGGCATACAACAAATAGTTTCTTTTCTAAACACACTTGAGTTTGAAAGAGGTTATGTAACGGACAGTTTGAACTTATCGAAAATCAGTTAGGCTCTTATCGGTCGATAACATGGCCGTCGTATGAATATGAATTATGCCAATTTGAAATAAAATATATTTGGGTGTCTTATGGGCTGGATTTCTAGCAACACAATTTTTTTATTTTTATTTTACTCCCAATGTTTTTTGTTATATATTTTATAAATAAATATATACATATATTAAAAAAGGCCTAAAACGTAACGCACCGCAAATTTGAATCTAATACGTAACGCAACAAATCAATCGTAAATCGCTTATCGAAGGCCTATCGTTGCAGTGGCAACTCTATTTACACTTATCTGTGAATGGCCAATTGATAAGAAGAAGTGAGCAACATTTATTTACAAAGTCGATCCTTGGTGCAGCCGTAAAATGTCTGAGCGCAAAGTGTTAAATGTAAGTTAAACTAATCAGTTATGCAGCCAAAGCGATACTATCCAATATTCCATTTGCAGAAATACTATCCTCCGGACTTCGATCCGTCGAAGATACCGCGCATGAAATTGGCGAAAAATCGCCAATACACAGTTCGATTGATGGCTCCGTTTAATATGCGTTGCAAAACCTGTGGTGAATACATCTACAAGGGCAAGAAGTTTAATGCCCGAAAGGAGGATGTGGAGAATGAAACTTATTTGGGCATACGCATCTATAGGTTCTATATCAAGTGCACACGCTGCCTACAGGAGATCTCCTTCAAAACTGATCCACAGAACACGGACTACGAGATCGAGGCGGGCGCCACTCGTAATTTTATGGCATTGAAACTGGCCGAGGAACAAGCGCGACGTGAAGAGCGTGAGGCACGCGAGGAGGAGGCAAACAATCCAATGAAATTGCTAGAGAACCGCACGCAACAGTCGCGCAATGAAATCGAAATGCTCGAGAGCCTCGAGGAGCTGCGCGATCTCAATAGACGTCAACAAACCGTGGACTATACGACCATGCTGGAGCAGTACAATCCGGCGGAAACGGAACGTGAACGCGAGGAGCGCGAACAACGCGAGGATGAGGCGTTTGTCAAGTAAGTGTTGGCATCAGGCAATATGTATACAAATATATATTCATTATTATATTTACACAGATCTGTAAACTTCAAAAACAAAGCGGAAAACGGCAAACGCATTGTTGCTGAGGAGATTATAGAGGAAATAACGGAGGAGAGTAATACAGATGTTAATGCGCCCACACCAGCCAAACTTGTGAAGCCTAATCCTGTAAAGCCTAACCCAAGTAAAGCGCTTGGTGGAGTGCAGCTGGTGAAAAGAAAGACGCCCCTGGTGCTGGTAAAGCCTAAGACAGAAGCAGCAGCAGCAGCGGGAAGCAGAGTAGAAGGCGGAGTAACGAAAACAACTGCAGGAGCGCTGGGATCAGCAGCAACAGTAGGAGTAGCAGAGGGGCAAGGAGTAACTGGCGCTCAAGTGGCAGCTAAAGCGTCGGAACCATCAGCAACACCTGCTGCAACTACGTCGAAACCTGCAGCACCCGCTGGCCTCTCCCTTTTAGCTGCCTACAGCGATAGCTCTGAGGATTCCAACTGACCCTTGCATCTTAGCAGCATTTATATCAAGTCTATGTGTATACACAAATTAACTAAACTATGTACTAAGACACAAAAAAATGTAATTAAATTTTCAGTTTATCCTTTATCAAGATTTGTACAGATCTGTGTAGCTTATGTCTTTCAGTATGATATATAAAATGAAACTTTTATAAGTACTGCGATTATTGCAAGTGATGCAAATAAGCTTTATAAACTTTTGTATGGTAAAAAATTCCCCCCACATTTAATATGTAATTAAATTGAAGAATATTCAAATAAGGAATATGAAAGTTTTACTCTAATTTCAATAAACACATTTGTCATTTAATAAACTTTTAATTTTATTTTAGCGTTTTAGCTGACTTCAAAAATATTTCACTTAAATTTCTAGGTTTTTCAAATACTATATATATGTTTATATTTATATATAGTCAAGGCCATAAGCATAAGGCAAATCAATTTACATACACATTTATCAAATTCTCAAAAATTAGCAACATAAAATGACTAAAATAGTAGTACATATATATAAACATTCAATTTATATATATATATGTATATACAAAGTATATGTCATATACATCTTTTCACCAATTCATAGCCGATTTCGTGGCGATTGGAACTGAAAGGCTTAAAGTTAATTTAAAACTAAATACTAAATGGTAACAGTTGCTCTATATATAAATATATACAGCTGCAAAAATTATAATAAATAATATCACAAGCGAAATAAACAATAAGAAATTATAAATATATATCAAATATAAGCTTAAGTATTAGCAATAGATTATACAGTAAGTAATTAATAATAAATCCATTTAATTTCATAAATTACGAAGACACTGGTATCTGCTATAGCTGCCATATCGTTCAGACGATATATGTATCTCTATAAAGCATACATATATGATTAGATTTATATGTATATTATCTATATATATATATAAATATATCATCTATAAGGCTGCCTTCTGGCAAGCGTCGTCACATATTTACTCTTTACTTATTATATTACGTTTAACAGTCTTTGATCGTTTAGTTCATTTTCCATTTACTTTTTGGGGTGGTTTGTGGGGGGCGTGGCAAGCCCATATCCTTTGTTTTTGGTGTGTTGCATTTTGGTTTTGGTTTGCATTTGTATCCTGGCTTTGGCTTTTCATACTTAAATGTCCACCGCTTTGGCTGCTTTGTAGTCGCCAGCTGCAGCCATTGCCACGCCCACCATCACGCCCCCGCCACCATCGTAGTTGTGGTGGTTATTGTTGTTGTTGCGTAGGAAACTCTGCTGCTCGGGTGCGCTTTGATTGCGCTCGTAGTGCTCATCCAAGTCATGATAGACAGAGACGCCCAGCGCACGTGTCGGCGCAAATTGCAAATCATTATCGTCCTGCTCGTCTCCCACATTGTCGTCGTCATCATCGACGCCAGCATCTTCATCCAGTAGCCGACGTCGCGGCATGCTGACAACAAAATCCTCTAGACTACGCTTGACGGCTGCATCGGAGCCCGTGCCCGAGTCTTTGCTGGATAAATGATCCTGTTGCAGATCGTGCTCCGGCTGTTGCATGTAGCACAGAGTCAGGCCCTGCTCCAAGCAGCGTTGCTCATATGACGGCGTCGTGTACACAATCAAACTACTCTGCGTCTGGCCAGGACCACACTCCAAGTCCGTCAAACTTGGCGACCGTAGCTGAGACTGCGACTGATGATGTTGCTGCTGCCGCGGCTGCTGTTGATTCAGTTGATGCTGTTGCTGCTGCTGCTGTTGCTGCTTGTGCGCCGCGTTATCGAGTATGATTGTACGATTCATTGTAGTCAACTGCGTCTGATCCAGCGGCAGGGTGTGCTGACTGCTTCGGGTGGTCGAGCTATGCAACAGCTTCCTACGCTGATAGTGCGAAATCTTCCAAACAATGCCAATGCAAACCGAGAAACAAATGATTGTGATAATCGTGATAATCATCACAATGAGCAGCACCACGTCGATATTGAAGCTATCCTGCACCACCATCAGCTCCGACTGCAGTGTCAAGGTGCGCAAATTGTCGCTGATCTCGCAACGATAATGTCCAGCGTCCGTGGACTGGGCATTGACAATGACCAAGAGCTCCTTGCTCTCGGTAAAGTAGAAGCGTTCCGCATCGGGCCCAGTGGGTGCATTATGCAATGGCTTGTTCTCCTTGAACCACTCACGATGCGGCTGCTCCAGGTCCATATTAAGCGATTCACTGAGACACTCCAGTACACAGGTGCGTCCCAGGATGACCTCCTTGTGGACCAGTGGAATGCTGGGCAGGGGTTTGTCTGTAAATGGATGACATTATAGTATATGTAGGGTATTTGACTTTTATATTTTGTGGCTCTCACCATTCACAATTAGCGTGGCATTCACTTTAATCACGCCCGCCGGACTCTCTGCCGTGCAGGTATATATGCCCGAATCACTCGGCTTGGCATTCGTTATCAGAAATGCATTCTCCTCGCGTATCACCTGCAGTCGTCGTTCTGTGGCAGCTGGAAAATCTCGACCGCCAAACTTTTGCAATGCCATCTCCGGCATGGGATCCCCGCTGGCCGAGCACACCAAGCGCGCCGTTTCGCCTGCATCTATCGTTAGATTCGAGGGCACATGCAAGAAGCTGGGATGAACTGCAAGTAGAGAAAATAATTTAGTAACTTATATAGTATTGTTTCCTTGAAGAAGTTCATTAGTGAACTATTTGCTAGTTCGATATATACTATTGGGCCGTTCATCAGTGATTAACTTGAACTTGAACCAAATAGAATAGCATCAATTGAGCACAAAAGATCTGCACCAGTTCATGTCAATTTTGAATCTTCAGAAAGGAACAGATTTGAAATTTCAAATAAAGTTCGTTGGGCTACTCACTGCCTATCGATATTTTGAACTTCTGGCCGTAGGTGGAGCCAAATGCATTGGACACCACGCACTGATAACGGCCGGCGCTCTCGTCGGTGACATTGAACAGACGCAGATGACCGTAGATCGTCGTCTGATTGGTGCTCTGATCGGGATGTATTTGCGTTTTGGTGCTGGCACCATCATGGACATTTTGGCTCTCTACGACGTGCTGATTATCATGCCGCCACTTGATCTCCAGCTCATCGGTGGCAGCAGCCGAAGCGGCAGCTGGCGAGGTCGCCATGCACTCCAAGGTAATATTGGCGCCCTTGACAGCGAGCATGTTGCTGGGTTCATTTTGCAGTACCGGCTTGGGTGAGTCAGCTGCAAAGAAGATGAAAGCAAAGAGTCAACAAAGAATTGAGAGAGTAAGAGTTGTTTAGCTGAGACTTACAGCACTCGAGTTGCGCAGGAGTGAGCCGGAAGAGCTGGCGATCGAGCAGGTGCTCCGGATAGCCACAGACAG